TTAGAACTCATCGTAAAATGTAGTTTGCCTTGGGAAAAACATGGAATCCAGCGCTCTAAGAACATTTAAAGTAAGTCAGGAACACGCTTCTCACTTTCCTTACAATATAAACAACAGCAACAACTAATAGACAAATAAATCAAGCAAATCAATAAGATCTGACTTACTAAGTACTCCGTATCAGTTGTTTCTACGCACCACCTTTCTATGCATTTTTTGGGTGCATCTTAAAAAAGTCAGTGAGGTATTGAAATCTGAATGTATTAAAAAAATTCGTTTTAAGCATGCAATCGTTTCCAACTGACTTTTTTTTTTGTACACTACACCGGTAATTCTTTTGAATCAATGTTAATTACACCTTTGGTAGTTCTTATCAACAGACTGAATTCTACTTCACTTGACTTTGTGGAAAGAAAACTGACCTCTGCCAGATGAGATGTTAATTTCTGTTTGATTTAAAATATTTTTTCCCTGCTCAATATTGCAAAGCACATTTGAGCATATCCAAATTAAAATGAAGTAAAAAAATATTTCACATTATTATTATTATTAATATTATCATTATTATTATTATTATTACTATTATTATTACAACCCTCTGGCCTCATTACTCTGGCTTTCCAAGGGAAACGCCCGAGGTATAAATTCGGCTTTGTTTGTTTGTTTTTTTGCGTTCGTTCACAGAACGCAGTTCCACTACGGCGCATGCGTGAATTGTATGCGTATGCGTAGAATGAACTNAGACAACCTCAAAACAACCAGGATACACCCTCGTTCAAAACATTGGCATCTACTTGACTACGTGCCACACTGACCACCGTTTGGTACGCTGCAAGCTCAAACTGCAGTTCAAACCCAAACCAAAGAAGATAGGTATCCCTGTGAAGAAACTCAACGTCAGCAGTCTGTGCCGTGAGGAGGTGAAAGCCAAGTTCCAGGCAGACCTGCAGCTGAAACTCGACGAAGTCCCCCAGGCTGTTGACCCCACCCCTAACACCCTATGGGAGAACCTGAAATCGGCCATCCTGAAAACATCTGAAGAAGTTCTTGGGCACTCAAAGAAGAAGAACCAGGACTGGTTTGATGAAAATGAAACGGAAATCCAGGACTTACTAGCAGAGAAGAGGGCAGCTCATCAAGCCCACCTAGCACAACCGACCTGTCCTGTGAAGAGGGCTAACTTTCGATGTGCATGTAGTGCTCTACAGCGCAGACTCAGAGGGATAAAGAACGATTGGTGGGACCACCTGGCTATGAAAACTCAGCTGTGTGCTGACGCGGTTGACTATAGAGGCCTCTGCGAGGCGCTGAAAGCAGTGTATGGCCCTACCCACCAGGTCCAGAGCCCCCTGCGTAGCTCAGACGGTCAGGTTCTCCTCACTGATAACACCAGCATCCTCGCTCGCTGGTCCAAACACTTCCAGACCCTCCTCAGTGCTAACCGCACTGTGCAGGCCTTTGCCATTGATCGTGTTCCTCAACTCTCACTGAAAGAGGAGCTCGATGAACCACCCACCCTCGATGAACTGAGTGTAGTCATAAATCAACTCAAAAGTCACAAAGCAGCAGGAGTTGACGGCATTCCACCAGAAATCTGAAAGAATGGGGGTCCGGTGCTCCTTAAAAAACTTCACGTTCTCCTCGTCTGTTGCTGGGAGCAGGACAAGCTGCCACAAGATCTTCGTGATGCTACTATCATAACCCTGTACAAGAACAAGGGTGTAAAGTCTGAGTGCTCTAATTACAGGGGCATCACACTACTCTGGCAAATTCGCTGGCAAAATACTTGCCAGGATCCTTCTTAACAGGCTCGTACCAACCATCGCCGAAGAAAATATCCCCGAGAGCCAGTGTGGCTTCAGAGCCAATAGAGGCACGAGGAACATGGTGTTTGTCCTCCGCCAACTCCAGGAAAAGTGCCGTGAACAAAACAAAGGACTCTATGTCACTTTTGTTGACCTTACAAAAGCCTTTGAGAGTGTGAGTAGGTCTGGTCTATGGCTTATTCTCAAACGTCTTGGGGTTTCTCCCAAATTTCTACAGATGGTTATTCAGCTGCATGAGAACGAACGCGGCCAGGTCAGACTCAATGGTGACCTTTCCGAACCCTTTCCTATCTCCAACGGCGTGAAGCAGGGTTGTGTCTTGGCACCGACCCTCTTCGGCGTATTCTTCAGCATGATGCTTAAGCAAGCTACTGTGGACTTGGATGTTGACGAAGGGGTGTACATCAGGTACCGTCTGGATGGTAGTCTCTTCAATCTACGGCGACTCCGTGCTCACACAAAGACCAAGGAGAGGCTGATACGAGATCTTCTCTTTTGCGGACGACCTTGCCCTTGTTGCTCACACTCAGCGAGCTCTTCAGCGCATTACATCATGCTTTGCAGATAGCTCGCAGCTTTTTTGCTTTGAGATCAGCCTCAAAAAGACAGAGGTCCTTCACCAGCCTACCCTTCAGGTAGAATACCGCCCTCCCCGCATCAGCATAGGCGACACAGAACTGAAATCAGTCCAGCAGTTTACCTACTTGGGTCGCATCATCTCATCCGACGCTAAGATGGACAATGAAATAGACAACAGACTGGCAAAGACAAACGGTTCTTTCGGCAGACTATTCAAACGAGTCTGGAACAACAAGAGCCTGAAAAGCAAGACAAAGATTCGCGTCTACAGGGCTGTCGTTCACACCACCCTTCTCTACGGCTCTGAGACATGGGTAACTTACCGCAGCCACATCCGCCTCCTCGAGCGCTTCCATCAGCGCTGTCTGCGCACCAACATCCACTGTTGTGACTTCAACACCAATGTCGAAGTCCTGGAGCAGGCCGAGATTCCCAGAATTGAAGCCATGATCCTGAAGCGCCAGCTCCGATGGGCTGTTCATGTTCCCCGAATGGAAGACCACCGCCTACCTAAGATTGTCATGTACGGTGAACTCTCAATCGGACATCGTGAGAGAGGGGCTCCAAGGAAGAGGCTCAAGGACAGCCTAAAGAAGTCACTCAGGACCTGCAACATCGACCACAAAGAGTGGTCTGACCTGGCCACAGACCGTGGTATCTGGCGCCACACAATGAACCAAGCCACTGCTCAATTTGAGAAGGATAGACGTGAGGTACTTGAAGACAAGCGTCAGAGGAGGAAAGCCCGCGCCGCCTCCACCTTCACTCCTGACACCACCTTTCTCTGCAGATACTGCCCACAGATCTGCCTTTTCATTGACTTTTAATCCAATGCAACATGGCAATTCAAAACTAAATTTTGGATAGNTTTCCAAGGGAAACGCCCGAGGTATAAATTCGGCTTTGTTTGTTTGTTTTTTTGCGTTCGTTCACAGAACGCAGTTCCACTACGGCGCATGCGTGAATTGTATGCGTATGCGTAGAATGAACTCTAGCCTTCTTCTGGTGCAGTGGGAATTAACAGAGAATTGGGGTGATACTTCATAGATAGCTGTATGATGTAACAGCGGAAATATATAAAACTTATCTACGTTGTATCGGTCTTGCCTCTATATTTATATTTCATATTCGTTATTTTGGGCCGATCAGATCATCGCTGATCCAACGTACAAGAGTAGGAGTATCGTCCATGGTTGCCTGCTGAACATTTCAAAATAAATTACCCTTTCTCAGAAATATAGGCGCTTGCCATTGCAAGTCATATATGTGTCTCATTCTTTCGCCGAGGGGGACAACCTTTACGACCTCAATGGTTTTTAATCGATAACATGTAATGGCTCAGGTTTTCACAATTATCCCCTGCCACACCCCTCTCGCAACACACAAACAAACGAGACAGAATCTGTTTAGGCATCTTTAATAAAAAACGAGAGGCCTCTGGGGCCCGAGGAGACCCCAAGGGGGGGGGGGAGGGTGAACAAAACAACTCGAACGACCGAACGAGCGAAACAAAATGATCATATTACACTGACGCGTAACAAGCCGGTAATGGCGTGGAGTCCTGGGGCTAATTAAGTTAATCCCTAGGAATATTAACCTTCAAGTACATCTTTTGCATGGACTTGGCAACAGACAATCGTGTGGTAGTGGTTTTATACTAAAATGAAGTCAATAATACGAGTCTGACAAAGATTGAAAACCTGTGATCATCGGCTCAAAACAAAAAAGTGTGTTGGTCATTTTGAAGTATGGAATCGGCGCCATACATGAAACTGACGTTCCGATAATTTCCAAACGGTCGAGGAATGTCTGGAAAATTTCACCTCCTTTTTAATTCCTTTTAAAATATTACTTTATTGCGATTCAGTAATGTTTGAACAACAAATAGATCTACCTCTTTGTCATGCCGATTTGGATAACACAGAGCGAATAAACAGGGACATGTCTGATAGACTCAGGGGTGATATTAAAAGTGGAAATGTAGCCACAGTTTAAAAGAAGAATCTACATTAACCAACCCATGGAGAAGGACCACAAAGATCATGTTATCGGAGAGGTATAACCCAATCAAAAAAAAGATGAGGGATGTCAACATGAAGATTTTTTTTTCATAGGTAGTCAAACTGCAAACAGCGAGAAAAATGTAAATTAGCCAAATTTTCACTTCATTGACCAATTTGAAAAATAATTACCATTTTATTTTTAATAATAATGGTAAGTAATAATAATGATAGTGATCATGACAATAATGATAACATATTAGTTGTATGGATTGGTGGCATGTTACAACCTATTGACAAGAGCCTGGTTCAAAAAATCCACGCCCTTGTTGNCTGGCTCTATTTCAGACAAAGACACTGTAAAGTCAGGTTTGTTGAAACAGTTGGAAACTGGTGACTTGGTTCTAGCTGACAAGGAATTCCTCATAGAAGATATTGTCCCACATGCTGTCTTTGTAAATATCCCTCTAATGGTTAAATTTACTATCAAGGTAGATCTAAAATTAGAAGGATGATAGAGACAAATGAGCGTTGCTGCGATCAAAGCGCTGGTAGCCTTAGCATAAAAAAATATGGCTCAAACTAACGTGAAGTGCATTCGTTAATGTTTGAAAATACATTATTTGCTTTCATCACAACAATCTCAGTAAACGAGTTGCGCTTTATTTAAAAGAATAAGACTGAAATCAGGAGTTCACAGAGCACATAAAATGATCCGTTTTGAAGGCCAATGATCGTAGAGCTTACCGTCACTATATATCGCATATCCTTCATACTTGCTTTGACTTGACCTCTGATAACTCCTTGATCGTAGATAAAAGTTTCAACGTGACCTGATTTGTAGTGATTCTCGCCTTTTGTTATGGATTTATGCTCATCAACGAAGAATAAACTCAGAGAAGAAATACTCAGAGACGCCATCTTGGATCGTGAGCGGTTTGTTTAGAACAAGAAAATCTGTAGCCAAGGCAACGTGACGTAATGGCCTTAGGACTCTATATGCTGAACACGATCAGAGATAATTCACTGAATACTCTCTGAAGATGAGTTCCGATTGCATGTTTCATTCACTGCTTTCCACACCTTTTCTGAGTTACCATTTGCTTCCTCGATCATGTCACTGTAATATTTAGACTTGGCAGTACGTACTAAGCCATTAACCTTGTTCCTAAGCTTTGCATACATTGACCAAAGACGCGCCGAGTTCGATTTTCGCGCCTTTCTATGCACCCAGTCACGTTCTTTCATAGTATCACTTATTTGACTGTTCATCCATGGAAGAGGCGTTCCCTTGACACGCCTTCGTTTCACTGGTGCGTGTTGATCAGCAACCTCCGAAAACATTTTGTTCCACACAAACAAGGCATCGTCGACGTTGTCCTCGTTTTCAACAATATGCCAGGGAATATCCCTAAGATCATCATTAAATAAAGTCGGATTGAAATTTTTATAGGAGCGATTCTCGAGTATTCTCGGTTTAGCCTTTGCTGTAATACCAGCTTTAATTATGCAAAATACCAGAAAATGGTCGCTGAGCGGTACCGGAACAACACCTGATTTGACAATGCGGTGTTCATTATTAGCAAAGAGCAAGTCGATCATTGTCCGCGAGGTGTCAGTTATGCGCGTCGGTTCTTTTATTAACTGAGTGAAGTTGTAGGCCCGCGAAAAGTTAAGAAGTTCTTGTTTATCTCTTCTTGCCAATCTAGAACTCGCCATCATGTCTGCGTTAAAATCGCCTAGAAT